ATACCATTGTTTTATACATGTAGTATTTTTTTAACAAGGGTATTTTTTGTCATTAGGAAGGTATGACACGATCAACATGGGGGTGTGACGTCATCCACATAGAGCATTAAAAGCCACTAGTGTGCTCCATGTGGGTTAAATGCCACTAGTGTGCTCCATGTGGGTTAAATGCCACTAGTGTTCTCCATGTAGGTGATGTCACACCCCATTGTGATGACGTCATACCCTCCAAATGATCAAAAATACCCTTGATAAAAAATGCTCCATGTAGAAAACAAGAGTATAGAAATGTCCAAAATTGTTGAGTACAATGATAAATTACTCCATAGTGTGAGGCACCCTAATATAATCCTATATATATATATATATATATATATGAGTAGCTGAGGTCAGCCCACTAGAGGACAGCCATAGCAAACACCCAACACCCCAGATTGAATCTGGGCCAACCCAATGGTCATAATTTCATTTCGTATTTGAATATTAATTTTTTGTACAAATTCAAATCACTTGAAATTGGAGTGTCTACTCTTGAAAAATAGGGGAATCTAATAAAAATATTATAAAAAATAATTTAACAAAAATACCCACTGAAACTTTCAAAAATACTTTGGCCAATTTATTTTTTATGAATTACTTTTTAGCATTTTTATTAGGTGCACCTTATGAGAAGAGTCAACGCTCCAAATTTCATCTGATTTGGATTTGTAGAAAAAAGATTAAAAATTCAAATCCGAAATGCAATCATGGCTGTCAGATTGGCCCAGATTCAATCTGGGCCATTAGGCTTACACTATTCCATCAACCCATGGGCTGACAGGAACTTCACACACACACAAACACACACACACACACACACATACACACACACACACGCACACAAAATTAGAGCTGGGTGCGCAAAGTGGAGATGCGCAACTGGAATTTTATGTGATCGTTGCATACCAATGAGGCAGAAGAGCAAGTTCTATGGGACAACGGTGAGACCAGCTTGCTCTATGGGGTGGAATATTGGGCGGACAAAAAACAATATACCCATAGAATGAGTGTAGCGGAGATGAGGATGTTGAGATGGATGAGTGGCAAGACAAGAAGGGATAGAATTCGAAATAAATCTATTCAAGAGAATTTAGGTGTGGCACCAATAGACGATAAAATGAGAGAGAGTAGACTTAGGTGGGTTGGCCATGTGTGGCGCCGACCAAGTATAGCACCCGCTAGCAAGTGCGAGTTAGTTCAAGTGGAAGGACTGAAAAGAACAAGGGGAAGGCCCAAAAGGACATGGTTGGACCTAGTCCGAAAAGATATGGGGACTTATGCCTCACTAATGATATGGCCCTTAATAGAGCAAAATGGAGAACCATGATTCATGTAGCCGACCCCAATTAATTGGAA